CACGGTTTGGCTGTTAGCAATAGTGCCTCTGTGAACACTCATGTTTAAGTATTTATTTGTGTACCTATTTTCAGTTCTTTCAAGTAAATACTTAGAAGTGGAATTACTGTCTGACCACAGCTACAATGTGATGTTTTAAAATGTATAAGATAAAATGCCTCTAGTTATGAAGGAAACCAATTAAATTGAAAACAGTTATAAAAATATCAAATGAAATAATTTTATGACATGGTAACATAAATATTTCTTGGTTTCCTAGTGCAAGATCTGATGGCAGATCTAGTGACTGGTGTACATTCAGAGCTTGAATGGCATTTCAACACGTCTGCAGCAACTATTAATGTAATATGAAAAGTCATGCTTTTTTGGTGACAGGTCCTTCTAATATTACTGGGGTTTGTTGCCTGTTAAACCCTAATGAACATAAAGATGTAATTTTCTCTTCCCTCCAAATTCAAAGAAGATTTGAGTTGCATCTAAATAAGCCCCAGGATTGGCAGTTAAAACCCTCAGTTAAGAAACCCTATTTTAGAGAGAGGAAGTGATTGTGAAAATGGACTCCAGGCCAGCCCCTTTTTCTCCATGCATATTCTCTCTTTTTTCACCTCTTTTACCACTGTGATTCTATTTTGTCCTGTGTCACAGGAAATATATAAGCCCAGCAGGATCAGCTGGGACAAGTGCATGTCTGTGAAAATGGAGGTTATAGAATCCAGAGACACTGTCTTCAGGTTTGACTTTGTCATGGGATTTTTCAGCAGTTGTCTTTCTGTGTTTTCTGTATCAGATTAAATTCAAGTTAATTTCTGAATAACTCAAACACTTCACAATTAAAAATAATTTCTATAGACCTCATGGTGTATAAAATTTCTGATCATTGTACACATACCTAATCTCATTTAATCCTCTGAAAATTGCATGGGCATATTCTGTCTTTGCCTTGAGATTAAGTTGAGGAAGTCTAGATTCAGAATAACTTAGTCAATTAAATGTATACATCAACTATTTATAGATACCTGGTGCATTTAGCAAATCACAACCTTAAATGCTTTTTCTATTGGACCAGAAAACCAGCATATCCAGACTTAATTGCTCACTTTGTTTTTCAGTATAAAGAGTAGTTACTCTGAAAATAAAAGCTAACACATTACAAACTGCTCTGTCAGATGAAAAGATCGTTTACATGAGAATATTATAATCCACAGCCCGAAAAGTACCATCACTCCATTGTCTCAGGGGAAATTCTCATAAACGGAGGCCAGACTTTTCCTCTAGGAAAAGGTACAAAATGTTTTTGGAAACCGAACTCTATTACCTGAATAGAAAAAGAAAATAGTGCTCAATCTGTATTTGAGGAAATCCAAAAACAGCATATAGTTCTGAGGGAGCTGAGAAGTTCCCTGGAGAGGATTCACCGTATTTGACAAGTGCCTGAATAATTACTGCAAAAATCCGGTCCCATATGTCACAGTTATCTTGCTTTGAATGAAAGAAAATCCATTTTTGAGTGGATTAGGGTTTCAATTCCCCCAGAGTTATTTATTCAACATTTTAGTGTTGTGTTTATGTTGCTTTCTTCCATGGAAGAAATGTGCCTTATTCTAACAGCAAGGAAAGGGGAAAGGATGGGAAGCTCTGGTTATAAATATTTTATTGTATATAGAGACAAAGATCACAGGGGGGCACATGAGTAGCGGGAAACAAATGTGATGTTGTTTTCAAATCTTCTAAGAAGGTTTATATTAAACTGTCTCTGCCAGCTTGTTTTCTGTTTGGTTTTTACACTGTCAAACCTGGGAATGGAACCCTTTTGTGTATTTGGAGCTCACCTACTAGATGAGTGTAGCAGCTAGCAGAAAGTCAAAAAGGATCCATGCTCTAGGGTAGACACAGAGAAAAATCTCTTGGAAAATGGCACAGTTGGTGAAGACATCTTTTCAAGTATGATCATCCATATTAATTTTTTTTGGAAATGTTTTATCCTTATAAAAAATAAGTTTACAAAGGTGTTAGCTTTCTCTGTACAATCAGTTCTTTTTCTTTTTGTACCACCCAATGCCTCTGAGTTATTAGAAAACTTTGACCTGATGGAATTTAGCATCTTTCATGACTTCATAACACATTGGAGTTCACTTGACCAGAACTCAATATTAATGAGGCCAAGATCAAGTCCCCTTTCTGAGAAAAGGAAGATTAAAGCCCTGTTTTTCTCATATAATGGCACAGACTACATCTCAAACCTATAGTTCACAAATTTGCATCTCTGAGCACCGCAGGAAGTGGATGAAAGGGGGAATAATTCCACCAATCTTATCATATGGCAGGGCTGATAGCACCCATCTATGTCATGGTGCCTCTGAACCACCTTAAAATGTGTCCCCATAAGGGCTGAATAATGACTTAAAAATATAGTAATTATCATATCTGAGCAAAAAAACATGCAGGGACTATGACTGTTTGGAATAGTATTGTTGATGACAAATCTTTGTTCTGCTGTACACAAAGTAGAATTCTAAAGTTTGTAGTAATTCACCAGTGAGCTCAACAATGTATTCATATTTCAGAGTCAGGTTCCATTTTTAATGCAGTATTATATTTTTTTAATACCATAAATGATGGTCTACACACCAAATATTGAAGAGAATCTATGAAAATAAAATGCACAGAATGGAACTTATGTGAAATTCAGTTATGTCTTAGTGGTGGGTGCATCTCTATCTAAATGATACACACATATCAAAATCATAGAGAGGCTTCTACACATAAGTCAAATTATGAATGATCTAGGACATTCCCCCCCCCAAAATATTATTCTCAAGTGGCAGGTTACTGCTCTTTGGCAACAAATGCTAAATTCAATGACTAAAACATGTTTTCTCTAATATGTGGATGCTAATTCACGATAAGGCAGGGGGTACTAGGAAGAATAGCATTTCCTTAGATTAGGTAGAAGGAAGTGTGATGGGAGGGAAAAGGAGGGGTATTAGGGATAGGAAAGATAGTAGAATGAAACAGACATTATTACTGTAGGTATATATGTGACTACATGACCAATATGATTTTGCAACATGTACACTCAGAAAAGTGAGAAATTATATCCCATCTGTGTATGATATATCAAAGTGCATAAATGCATTCTACTGTCATGTATAATTAATTAAAACAGATTAAATTTTTTTAAAAAAGAATTTTAAAAATGTCTGGGTTGATTTGTCATACAGCATGAGCTAACCTACTTTAGTATTCACTATTGGCCAGTTAGTAACTCTACATAGGCCAATTTCATATTACCCTAAAGATCACTCTATGTTCTACAAAATGGCACTTGTCTCTATTTTTTCAGATGAATCAATAATCCCAGGAACTAATGCATCATCTCTGATAGCATAGTTAATACAAGGTGGAGCCAGTCTGTTGATACCAAAGCCAAACCCTTTGGGCAGTTGTTCAGTATCTTTTTTAATTGTTGGTGGACCTTTATTTTATTCATTTATTTATATGCAGTGCTGAAAATCAAACCCAGTGCCTCACACATGTGAGGCAAGCACTCTACCACTGAGCCACAACCCCGGGCCCAACCCCTGCCTTTTGAAGGTTGTAAATGCAAATATTAATTTTAATTGGCATCAGCGCATCCTATTAAAATGTACATTAATCACAAGTTTAGAGTTTTCAGAACACAACCTACTGAACACTCAGATTGCTCTTTTTAACTCAGAAATGGAGATATGGCTTTATCAGATAAAGTTTTCTTAGTGACAGGTTTAAGGAGAAATTTGAGAGGAGAGTTTTAGTGGTGATCTGGCACATATTGAAATAAAGTTATGGTGTCTGATTTTTTTTTGATGGATCTAGTTACTTTCAGTGCAAATAGAAAATTTTAAGTAATACTAATTTTAGAAAATGAAATTTAAAAATGATCAGTTGTATAAAAAATACAATTGGTGTATAATGGTACTAATAAAGTACAAGTTAAGATGCATCTAATTAGTTTTCTTTTTATTTATTTTAGCTCCTGGGCTCTGGAACTATCCTATCAACAGGATAGGAAAGAATAACTGCTTTTACTTTCTAAAACTTTCATGAAAAATACGAAGTCTGTATTTAATACTTCCCTGCCCTATGTATATAGTATTTATGGTTTGCTCATTTGTCAGTATTGTGATGAACCATAAGCAAGGTTAAGAACTTGTAAGATCTACATTAAGCTTTGAGCCAGTGTGTATATAGTTGATCCTCATTATTAGTATTTACAAATTCACCTTTCAATATTTTTCAAGATTTTGTATTTTGTGTCAAGCCATTACTGAAATCCTAATTTGGTGATTTTAGGCTTAGAAGGCTATCATGTGCCCTATGGAGAAATGCACATTAGATAAACTGTATCCAGGCATGAGTTAACAAGGCTGTTGGATGTTAATTCGGTGGTGAAGAATCAACAATACATAGTAAATAAAGCATTTTCAGCAGAAATTCAAATAAAACAAGGTTATGCATTAATTGATTGACAAAAGTTTGAGGCAAGAGATTTGCAGAAAACTATGTACCCTATGTTTCCTTGGGGGGCAGTTGTTCAGTATCTGCTAATGCAGTGTTTGTGATGACTTTGTAGAACATAAGTACTTCACATAATGAAAATTAGTTATATTGCCAATATAAATCCAGAGATTAAGGGACCAAAACTACAATTCCTGTCCCCATCTATTGTAAAGATGGATTCATAATGTAATTATTGCATAGAGTAGAGAAAGTGCAGTAGTACAGATGTAGGCAAGGTGCTAAGAGGAGTCTAACACTACCTGGGGGTATCCAGGTAATAATATGTAGATTTATAATTGCATGCCTAAAAATATATATAAACAGTAAAAAAGGATATACATGTGTAGGAGATAGTAAAGGATATATTTATTTTTAAGAAATATTTTAAGGTATTTATTTATTTTTAAATAGAACATAATGTTGGTGGGTTTCTGAGTCATGTTGGTACCATGTTTTCACAGAAATACACTGTGGTGAAATGCTTCTGCCTCTTGCCAAAATGAACACAGAAGAAAAATGAAGACTGAAGAATTCCAACGAAAAGTCACAGAACAGAAATAGCTGCACACCTCTGTAGTCTCTAATCCATCTACAGCCATCGTACAAAAGGTGGGGAATAAGTTGCATTGTGGTTTTGGCCTTTTAATTTTTATTTTAAATTATACAATACTAAAAAAGGCAAACTAGTGAGGTTATTTATTCAATAAATATTCCATGGTCCACTTCTGCATGCTGCAGACTGTTGTACTGACTTAGAATATGGTAGTGATCTAAAAAATGCAAAGATGTAGCTTTGAATGAATTGCCTTTTAGGGGAAGAGGTATTTATGTAAACATATGGAAAGGAAACTGGCAGGCATTGATTATATTTATGAACATGATAAACAGGCTAATGAGATAAAGGGTGATAAGGGGCTACTTTAGTTTGGGTGTCAGAGAACCTCCCCAGAGAATTTAAGATAAGGACTGAATGATGGATAAGAGCCACCTGAGTGAGTGTTTGAAGATAGCATTATTCGTATACCACCAAGTGGGATCCAGGTGGATACTGTCAAGGCTTAGAAAGTCAGCCTCTATGGCTTGAAGAGAAGGGATTTGGAGAAGCATGGTGTAGGAGATGAATGTGGAGAGTCTTTTAGATGTGGAAAATTGTCTTCATTTTATTTCAATGAAGACAGAAGTCACAGAAGAGACATATTAGCAGAGTAGTAGAAGAATTTACATGGGGCAATTATCTTAATCCAAAAACTAAAAGTCTGAAATGATTCAAAATCCCAAAGTTTTTGAACACCAACTTGAAGCATTTTGAGTTTGGGATTTTCAGGTTTGGTTTTCTCAACCAGTGAAGTCTTTGCAAAGTCCAAAATCTGCAAAAAACAGAACAACAACAATAACAAACAAACAAAAAACACCCAAATCTGAAATCTGAAATACTTCTGGTCTCAATCATTTTTGGATAAGGGCCATTCAAGCTGTATATTTTTAAAAGGGCATTCTGCTTTACTATAGCTAACTAATAGGCATTGGGTTTTCAGTAGTGGGAAACAGGGTACATTCACCCAGGTAAGAGATTCTGGTGTGTTGGCTTAGGAAAATGTCTTTGAAGATGGATGAATTTAAAATATATTTCGGATATATTCCAGAGCATAGATGACCACCAGTGCTCTTAATGAATCTCCACATATAATTCTTATTTCCTTGTGTAGACTATACTGGCCCTTTTTAATATACAATAAACAGTTATTTATTGAACAAACTCTTTATGGTGTATATGTCTGTGACCTGTTTCTGAAACTTAGAATGTGTTGACATTAAATTGTGAAAGCAAATAAAATTCTGCCCTGAAATTTCACATTTCAGGTGGGTTATCTTGTAACATTCAGATGCTTGAGCCCTCCAGAAATATTTGAGGCTCCTCTCCTGCTTCTTACATGGCTCCTGAATTTGGGAGAATATTGTTTCTCAAACCACTGAGAGATATCCTGTCTGAAAGGTGCCCTTCTAGATAAGAAGCATATGAATTTTTAAGGACTAGATGCTTAGATCAGTCAAGCATGACTTCAAGACTAAAACTTTTATACCTATTTTTTTATATTCCTTGATGGTACATTGAAGTAAAAGCTAAATACAACTTAAAATTGGTATCTTAGAAGGAGAAGAACAAATAAATTTAAGCAAAATTTTCCAGAGAAACTAACATAGTCAACAATTAATGTTTCATGTCCTGGAGTATGTACCCCTATGCAAAGCTCACAAGGGAGGTGGGAGGATAAGGAATATAGGGGTCCAAGTGTGCAAGAAGCCATCAGCCATTGTTGGAGCATGGAGGTCTGTGTTCAGAAGAGTTATTCATGATAACCTAACTGAATCATATTTTAAGATCTGAACAAAGTACAGAGTACTGCTTTCCAACTCTCATAACTATTTGAAATGGTTCTCAAATTAGATGTTATAGGAATCCTTCCTTTCTCCACCCCAGATCCCTCTCAGAAGACCTTAATTAATAGGAAATAACCTCAGTGAAGCAATTAAATAGTGTTGGATAATTGAAGACTCATGCAATTCCACAAGGTATACGTATGTAAAGCTGTAATAGATGGGATACAGTAGGAAATATCAAACACAGGCCAATATCAGAGAAATTTGAGATTTCCAGGCTAGGCTCAGGGTCCTTTCTCCATCCCAAAAGATGCACTTCTTCTTCTGATCCTGAACCATCAAGATATATCAGTGATACTTTGGTCTTTGGGAAGCCAAGACTCAAGCTTACTGAGAAGTGTTATGTACCCTACAGTTCAAGTAACTAAAAGCAGGCTAAATGGAGTAATACACAGTTACCAAAAAAAAAAAAAAAAAAAAAATCAATCAGTACAGTTTCAATAAGCAGAATAAACAAGCTCAGGGGGACTTTGGATTTTTTAACAACATGTTATAAATCACTAGCTAGTACATTTCACCTGTGCCAATACAGAGCATCCATCAAAATAAGCACAGAGCTACCCAAGATCAAGATCAAGATCAACTGCAAGTTATCATAATACACACAAAGAATTGGGCCATAATGAGAAACTCAGAGATGACTTAAAGGTGATATATGCATTCTTCAATAAGTCTTGTTATCTACTAGACTGGATACAACTCTTTAATTATAGATCATTAAAAGGATATCAAAATTCCTAGGAAAAATGATTAGAGTCTGAAGCAATAAGGATAAAATAAGCCAGGAAGAGTAAAGATAACTTGGTTTGGTTACCCCAGAAGCTTCTGGTGAGACAAAAGAAAAAAATTGGATTCTAGTGTTTATTTGAAAGGTGATGTCAACATAACTTTGTAGAAAAGTACATGTGAGATAGGGGAAAGAAAAATGTGTCTTCTCACTACTATGACCAAGAGGAGCACAATCTCATTAGGTAATTACAGGATACAATACAGAACAGTTAGCTAACCAAGGGGAAGGGAATTAGGGTAGTTAGTGAACCTCTCCCATCTGCCTTGCTGAGGGATGCTGCACTGGGGGAAGTGTATGGCCTACCATCCATGTGGACCAAGAGAACTCCACCAGCCAGAGAAAGCCCTCAGGTGAAAAGTCCCAGGATATTTTCTATTGAAAACCACCATTAGGTCATCATACACAAAGAGATGAATGCCAAGGGGATTTGGGTGGAGGACCTGCAGCTTCTGAGACAACAATCAGGATGATTATCATAATATCGATAGAGCTATCATCTATTTGAGGAATTATAACCCAGGTGTTATACAAAATGCTTTACGTATATTTTAATATTTAATTCTTATTTGTTGCATGTTTACTGCATGCAAGGTAGAGAAAGGGGAGGAGAACTCTATACCTTATCACTACAATCCTGCAGCATTTACATTATTCTAGTCTTCAGTTTATAAATGAGCAAATGAGACTCAGCAAGGTTAACCAAATTCTCTGAAGTAGCACATGAGGAAATAGAGTTGGAAGTCAAACTCTAGCTTATCTGCTTCCAAAACCATCTCTTGAGTGACATTGCAATCCTTAATTAGTCACTGATGTGTTTCTGATACTCATTTATTGAAAAGTTGCAGATATTATTTAAATATGGGGCTGCACAAAAAATACCCATTTTCTCAAGGAGCTTGAATGTTTATGGAGAAAGACAAGGAAATATAGTGTTCCAGGGCACCAATGAAAGTATGTTGCAGCTATTGAAAATGAAAAAGAAAAGAGTACATCACTTGTTGATGCATAACAAATAACCCCATAACTCAGTAGCTCAAAACAACAGGCATGCATTATTGATCATGAGTCTATGAGTGAGTTAGGGAATTCTGCCAATTGGCTGGGCTTTGCCGATCTTCCATCATTTTGCTTCTCCATTGGCAATCAGCTGCCAGTCAACTGTGGGATGGATCATCTAAGATGGCTTTGCTCACATATCTGATGATTGACTGGATGTAGCTGGGCCAACTTAATTCCCCAGCAGGTCAGCCAGGGCTTATTCAGTGGCAGCAGAATAATGCCAATCATGCATCAAAGAGAATGAGTGAAAGGGTTCTTGGGGCCAGGGCTCAGAGCAGCCACTATGCTGCATCACATAGGTCAAAGCAAATCATGGGCCAGCTTGATTTAAGGGATTTGGAAATAGACTCCATCTCTTGGTGAAAGGAGTTTCAAAGTCCCACTGCAAAAGGGCATTGATAAAGGAAGAGCTGAATTACAAACAATCTATCAAGAAGAAAATATATGAATAAATGCTTACAAAGTGAGTCAGCATTTCCTAGTCGAATAAGGTAGAAAAGAAATTTAAAGCAAGAAGGATAATATGCATACAAAAACAAAGATCAAGTCCCATAAATCTAGCAGGTGATTTGGGAATGAATATGCCTAGCAGCAAGAAAGAAAGAGGAGGGAAGCATCATGAGAGACAGCCAGGGGAAAGGCCAGAAATATGTAAATGTACAGAACTTAGGAAAATCAAAGTTAATTTGGAGACAGAATATTATGCTTAAGAAAAAGTGAACAGCAAATGGGAACAGGAGCATAGTTTGGTTAAAAATGAACAGATGGCTGGATGGACAGATTGATGTAGCAATATGACCAGCACATTTACAGGATAATCTCATGAAAGAAGTCTTAGCATATTTATTTCAAAAAGGAAGGGAGGAAAATATTTTGATAAGCACTTGGAGAAAGAAGCGAGGTTGAGAGTGATCTGAATGAAAGAATTTTGTAATGATGCAGACATACAGAAACTTCTGTGCTGCACCATTCACAAGCATGCTAAGCATAATAGGCTTTTTTATAAAAAAGCTAATGATGATTTTGGCTCTCAGTCCAACAATAAGGCTGTAGATGATCATTGGACAGAGTTTCCAGGGCAGGTCTCTGTGAAGCTCTTTGGCATTAGGGTCTATATGTATTCACATTTGTCAATTGGTGTATGGGTGTAAAATGAAAAGTTGCAATTCTTGAAAGACTGAGTAAATTAAACAGCAGCCTTATTCTACAATTTTCTCAAGCTACTTTCATTGCCCCTCCGGGCCTGTGTTTTAAAAGTGGTGTTCTTGGCTGGGCACACTGGTGCATACCTGTGATCTGAGAAACTCAGAAGTCTGAGGCA